TATTCAGGAGAGCTAGTTGGGCAAAGATGAGAGAGGTGACCACAGGACTCCCAAGTGTTCTGAGGCTGGGATGGGCTGATGGGTGGGGTGGTTAAGGCAGAAGCATGTGTTGGGTGTGGTGTCCAGCCTGGATAATGTATTGGAGAGCACCAACCCTGACCCCTACTCCTACTTTCCTGACTACCAGAGGACTTCAAAATTCTTCTCCAACCCATGCTGTTAGCTCCAAGTGGTACGTGAAGAAGGGTCCTTGGTTTTGGAAGAGTTGGGAAGAACCCACAGAGGAGAAAGGTTCTGATGGTGATTTGGGAGACAGCCCCTTTTTATCTGGGACTTAGATTCTCCATCTGTAAGAGAAAAGATGCTGGCTGAGATGTCAAAAGGCCTTTCAGCTCTTACCTGCAGGGAAACTGTCCCAGGTCTGCAGAAGTTAAGAGTGGGCACTGTTGGGTGACTGGTGCAGCCGAGAGAGCAGAAACAGAGCAGGTGGTGTTCTGAATTCTTTCACTGTTTCTTTGGTCTTCTCAAGGGTAGGGAGCTCCCAGCTCCCAATCTGGCCTCCCCAGGGGCAATCTCCAATCTCCAAGGTGCACCTTCCCTCCCCAAATTTCAAAATGAATACATGTGGATAAACCAAAACCAAAAACCAAACACACTGCAATCGAGTGAGATCTGATCATAGCGACCCCTCCTTAGGTTTCTGTGGTGGTATCACTACAGAATTAGATTGCCCAACCTTCCTTCCGAGGAGTGACCATGGAGAGTGATGAGGAAAAAGAGAAGCCCTCTCCGACCTCAGCATGTGTGTGACGTCCCCCTAAGTTGGAGTCCCAGGGTGATAAGAGGTCTCCAGGGGTGCCCGCACCGCACAGGCCAGCAGTGTGAGGTGCACTTCCGGTCTGGGGTCTCATCCATACCTGCGTGGACTTCCGGCCTAGCTCAATCCCTGTAGAGTTTGGTCTTGGACGTGTCTCTGGGTCATGTCATGTGTTGTCACACCCTCTTACAGTGTCTCCCGTTGAGTTCTGTACTCTCTCAGTGACGCC